GAGATGCTTCTTTGGCAGAGGTTACAGGAGCCTCGCAGTGACGCAGCTGCTGCAAGCTGAAGTCCTCCAATGCTAAAATGTAGCGACCCGCCATGACACGCAGTAAAACGCATTTCTCTCGCTGCTCTTTTATGTCAGACGAGGGGAGGACGTTAATGTCTACTTGAATTATGATCTGGAAAAGAGACTCCTTATTGATTTGCTGCTCCGTGAAAGGAATGACTACATCGCAGACATAAGCGAGATTAAACATCGCCGACAGCCGGAAAGAGGTTCGAGGATTTTGTTATGGGTGAATGCAGAAAAAATAAATAAATACGAAGCAGGGAAAAAAAAAAATCATGCATAAACAATCCCCAACAGGTCGCATCTTCTGACTGAATCTACTCCGAGCAGATAATCTCCAAACTCGGATGCACGCCTGCATTCTTCAGCGAACGTACTCAGACTGTCTGCACGTGATTGTCCTCCATTTGTTTGCCTTGTTTATTCTAATAGGCTGTTGGAACAAAAACATATCTGCAGAATATTTCAAAGATTGATTGGGATGTAAATTGCCTCGAGAGTTCAATCGGTGTGGCTCGGCTCGTTTTAATTGGCTTCTGTTAATTAATGCCCGATGTGAAGACAAACTGAATTACTTGCAGATTTTGTGCATGTCATTATCTCCTAATTGTTGCAGCAGGAAAGCGTGTGTATGTGTGTGTGTGTGTGTGTGTGTGTGTGTGTGTGTGTGTGTGTGTGTGAATGGATATTTGTTAACCCTTTCCTCCCTTGCATTACTCTTGAAAGATTATCTTCCCTTAAGAGCTTACACGGGTCATTAGGTTATTAAACCGTCAGCTTCGAATGTTTTCATTAACTCAAAGACCAACAGGAAGAACAGGTTTAAAGTTTAAAATAAATTAAGCTTCTCTGAAACACTGAGGTGTCTAATCATGAAGGTATAGTTCATCTCCGACAGCCAATTGACCATAAAAAGAGCTATAACTGGTCAGTGATACAGATACTGAGCTAAAGTTAGATTTGATGGTAGCTGAGGGTCATTTACAACAAACTTTGAGAGTTAAATCTCTTAATAATGCTTGAGATTGTGCATATTGGTATTTTCAAAGTTGATGCAAAACAGCTGCATGTCCATTTCGTCTCCACAGAAGATCTTTGTCTAAACTGGCATGAAAGGCAGAGGATAAAAAAAAATTAAAATCTTCAGGCTGAATTTATTTTACACACCTAGACCTGAGCTTTATCATCATTCAACATCATGGAAGCATCAGTTTAATCCCTCTAACATCATCAGATTGGACGGATTTAACAACACATGCTCCCCTCCTTCGCATTTTTATATCTGACTGAAATCTGTGCAGGCCACATTCAAAATGACAGAAATACATGGTGGCAACTGAGAACTTTAATCCCTGCGATATGCATTACTTTCTAAAATAGTTAAAATCATACTTGTTTGATAGATCTCAGTTTGTAAATCTAAATAATTAATCTTCTTCATATACCAAAGTTAGTCATGGAGTTCCTCAGAGTTCAGTGCTTGGACCACTTTTCTTCATCTTCTATATGCTTCCATTAGGTAACGTTATTAAACAGCGTGGGATAAATTTTCATTGCTATGCTGATGATACACGGTTATATTTGTCCATGAAACCCAATGAATCCAATAAATTTAAGTTAATCATGTCTTAAAGACGCAAAAACATGGAAGAGCCATAATTTTCTGCTTTTAAACTCAGACAAGACAGAGGTTGTGGTTTTTGAACCTGAGCATCTTGGGAATAAATTTTGTAGTCTTTCACTTTCTCTGGATGGCATTAATCTGGTCTACAGTTCTAAAGTTAAAAACATTGGTGTTATTTTTGACCAGGACACGTCTTTTAACCCCCATATCAAAAAAGTTACCCACCTGCGTAACATCGCTAAGATTAGAAACATCCTGTCCAAAAATTATGCAGAAAAACTGCTCCATGCATTTATCACCTCTTGACTGGACTATTGCAATGGTTTGTTATCTGGGTGTCCACAAAAGTCTTTAAAAAGTCTTCAGCTGATCCAAAATGCTGCTGCCAGAGTTTTAATGGGAGTTGATAAGAGAGAACATTCTCCAGTTTTAGCTTCTCTCCATTGGCTCCCCATCAAATTCAGAATAGAATTCAAAACTTAGCTCATCTTCTATTATAGATCTTACGGTTTCATATTTTCCTAACGGAGCACTTCACTCTCAAACTGCAGGTTTAGGTTTAATAAAAAGCGTTCACAGGAACTACTGAAAACTTTACTATAGGAGTCGTTTTAGAACAGTTCAGTCTGGTCAGAAATAAACTTTTCCTCCAAACTGAGATTGTATGTGTATCTACAACAGGTAAGATATTGATTCTTCATAACACTTTTTATAGAAACCCACCTCAAAAGATCTGAACTATTGCTTTATATGCTGAATTTCTTTGTAAGAACTCAACCCGCAAGTGACGACTATTCACCTTTGATGCAACAACTGCCTGGATGTTTTAAGACAAATTGTTTTGCTGGTAACTTCTGCGATTCCTTTGAGCGTATTTTTCTGAATCATTACACCAAATCATCTATTTGGCAAATAGATCATTTAGACTCCAAATCATTAAACTGCCAAAAAAAAAAAACAGCTCAAACTTAAATTTCAAAGGTGATTCATCAGTGGTTGACGGCTCATGCGCCAAAAAAAATGAGAACACAGATCCTTAAGTGCTTCTTTTTCCAGTTAGATTCAACCTGATGCAGCAGATCAGTGAGGATGCAATGAACTGTGGGTCGTCTCTCGGCCGTCTCTGCAGCTGATGAGACGTGTGCGACTTGTGGTGCAAAGCAGAAAGATTCGTATTTTCAGACCATTAAACAGAGGATGTTAAAGCTGCGCGCAGACATACAGCGGTCAAAACGCATCAAAGGGTAAAATAGAGAGTCGTTGCGCCGCTCGGCGATTTATCTCGCCAGCCGGTCACTGAATCGAGGAGGTCCTCAACAGCAACAAATAAACATATTAGTGTGATCAGTCGTGCTCTGAGAGGGACGACAGCGTTGCAAATTAACGATGCTCTGTTGCCATGAGGACCGGAGGGCTGTTATACCCAGGGTGACCTTGAAGAGCCTCTTCATGGGAGTGATTGACGTGGCAGCTGTCGCCAGGGAGACGCCGACTGTGAGACGGGAGGGGTCGACAGACAGGTGGTGTCGTGCGGCAGCGCTGCAGGTGGAAGACACTGGGTGTGGAGCACACCTGGGAGGCGCGGAATAAAATCTGCTTTCACCGAAATAAATAAATAAATAAATCACATCTGTGACCGGGGGTTTCTGAGAAAAACTGCGATGAAGTGGAACCTGATGTCATCGCCACAGCAACACAAAGGAAGTGGAACTGTAAGTAACGTAACCAACACAACCCAGCTGGTGGTCTGGGTTCATGCCATTTTTAAATCACCCCCTGCCAAAGGGATACTGCCAGTACAAACAGCGCGCAGCTCAGCTGTGCTACGTATATATACTGTACAGTACTGCACAGTTTTACTCACCAGCTCTGCAGAACAGCAGCTCTGTTCTGGTCAGGCTCTGTTCCGGTTCTGCAGACCGGAACAGAGCGTTGAAGCCTGTTCCCTGCAGCGTTGAAGCCCACCGCCCCACGTCCAGGTTGATGGGCGCGTGGATAATTGAGCTTCAGGATTATTTGCGACTTTCGTGCCAGTTCTGTGAGCTTAATAGATAGATTGTTACTTCTGAATTCGTGTTGCAAAACTTTCCCTCCATTCTGACAGAAAGCAGCATCCGGAAGCACTGTTGGCTTCTGGGTAGTGTAGTTCATTTGACTGGCATTACAATATAGGCTTATTGAAAAAAATCAAATAAATAAATACAAAATGGCAGCGCCTGTCTGAAGTTTTTTTTTCACGAAAGTTGAACAATGAGGTAGCGAGGGACTACTGTGTGTGTGTGTGTGTGTGTGCGTGTGTGCGCATATCACACACACACACACACACACACACACACACACGAGTTAAATATATCTGCTACAGAGTATTTTGTTGTATTGTGTTCACCACACCGACCATGGAGCAGAAAAAAAAAAAAGACAGGAGGTATCTGAGCAGCTCAGAAAGAAGATTTTAGATATGCATGTTAAAGATTAAAGCTACAAGACTATCCCCACGCAGGTTCATGATCCTCTGGCCACAGCTGCCAATTTTATTCAATAGTATAAAGCTCATGGGACTGGAGCCAATCTCCCAGGATGTGGACCTAATAGGAAATGCAACCCCAGGTTAATAAAATGGAGAGTGCCAATGGAAGAGAAAGGAGCTAAAGAAATCATGTCAAACTATTTAAACAAAACTTCAAGGTCATGGTTTCTGACCCCACCATCTGTAGTGTTTTGAATCGTGTGGCGCTTGAACTGAAGAATACCCAGAAGGACTAACTGTTGACAGAGAAACCCAAATAAACCAGGCAGGAATTTGCAATAAATGCATGACGACAATACTCAAATTTTCTGGGACTGAAACAGAAAACTGGAGCGTTTTTGGCTTCTGTGGTGTTCTTGTGATTACTGTGAACAAGTTTTTTTGCATCTTTATTTATTTTACTCCCTAAAATGGTACTCTAGAGAACCTTAAGAGTACTTCTACACTGGAAATAGGAGCCACGCACATTTCTGACTCTGAATACTGAGGATTATTCCAGCGGTAGTCAGAAGCATCTCATGCATTTTGAAATCCTTTACATCCATTTACTCCCACACTAACTGATCCTGTTTGTAAACCTAATAAAAAATTGGTCTGGTTTTGCCCTCTTCTGATAGAAGGGTTAAGTAGTTGTAGTGTGCAAAGAAAGAAAAACTGCTATGATAGATTTTTTCCTCTGAAATGGTTTGTTTTCAAAGCAGAAGTGAACAGAAACAGTAATTCTATTAAAGTTCGAGTACTCCTCTGTTTTTGTGGTCCATACCGACTCTTGAAAAAACGTACCCGTGATGTCGTGCTGTTTGAAAGAATCGCTGTAGATCTGGTGCTGATTGGGACAGTGCTTCTTCAGCCATTTGCACACATCCTGCTGGGTCCACAGAGCCACCGGCTTGGATAGCTTCACATATCCAGGCTGCACGAGAGAACAGACGGGGGAAGCATTCTGTCAGTTAACGGTTGTATTCTTAAGTAAAATATGAAAATATCACACTTGTTCTGCTGCAGCTGTGTTAAGCAAAGTACCAATAAAAGACAACATTATTAAAAAATTGCACAGTCAAATTGGTGTCACAACATTAACATTAATAAAACACAGATTTAGAGGAAAAATTCTGATAGCCAAGTCTGAGTGAAGCAAATCAGAGATTTACATGGCAAGTTTTCTTGGACACACGTCAATCATCTTAAAGCAGAAAACACTGCTCAATGTTTGGATTTTTTAAATTAAGTTAAACATCATGACTGAAGTATTCTTGTTTTGTAGGATGGTTAAAATTTTGTTTTGTAATTTGACAAAACTCTGACCCCTCTTATTCTCTTAACTGGTTTTAAAAGACTTATACTTCACCCACTTAAAAACTGGAAAAACAAAAAATATCCATCCATCCATCATCCATCTCTGTATACAGCAGTCCCTCGCTACATATGTACCTAGCGAGGCACCTACTTACCTACATACACACATACCTACATATACACACACACACACACACACACACACAAGACAGTAAATATGGATGTAAAATCTAAAAAGTAAAAAAAAAAAAAAATTTAAACATCTGTCCGGCAGCATAGACAGGAGTTTATAGGAATGTTAATGTGGTGTCTTGATAGATGACTGTTTGTGTACAAAAATAAATGTCAGTTAAACTCTTCTGAAAACAACAATCAGAACGTCACAAACTACTCTGTTCAGAGTTTTATTTTTAGACTTCGTATTTGCTTTTAATGCTGTGGACATAAATACACTCCAGCAGTACTTTAAAACAAACTTCAGATGAGCTGAAGTTTTATTTTAAGAATCAAAGACTTGAATCTGATGGACTTTGCGTCTTGTCTTTCATTGCCGTCTGTTGAAACATGGTAGCTGAAGGAGACAGACTCTTCATGTATGCCGATGATGCAGCTTTTTTGGTCTCACTTCTCTCCCTGTCCAAAGTTGGCTTGGATGGGGAACTGCCAACTCAAACAGGGGAGTTTGTCGGACAGTGGATGCAACACTCCACCTTTAGAGAGTCAAATCCGTCACCATGGCAGAGGTGACTGTGGTAGATCAAAAGCTTCCTGGTGACAGGGCACCAGGGCTGGAGATACTAAAGGCTCTGGACTATATGGGGCTGTTGGTTTACGTCTTTTCAATGTCACATTAAGAACATGGACAACATCTGTAGAACAGCAGACCTGGATGGTGGTTCTCATTTTTATAAAAGGGGACCAGTGAGTGTGTTCCAACTATTGAGGGATCACACATCTCAGCTTCCCCAGGAATGTTCAATTAAAGGTGTTGGGAGGGAGGCTCTGTCTGATTGTCAACACCTGGGAAAGTCTTGGGATCCTCCAAGAGGAGCTGGAGACCGTCTTTGAGAGGATATCTGGTTTTCCCCTCTTGGACCTGTTGCCTCTTCAGCCTGACCACAGTTAAATGACGGAGTAGATGGTTGGATCTCCTCACTATTTATGACCCACTCATTGCAAGATTAGAAAACAGTGTTGCTATGAAAGTTTTGAGCCATCTGCAACAACGGAGAGAGTGAGCAGACTCATAGCAACAGGTTATGTACTTTCAGTCCTCTGAAGTGTCAACTATGCTACTGGTTTTGATTGATTGCTACTAAAATTACAAACACAGAAACAATTAAAATCTCACGTCCACTCCCCTTCACTTCAATCTGCTCCATGGATGCCGTGAGGCGTTGCATAGCAATGAAAGCCTCCATCCTCCTGCAGCCAGAGAAATCTGGCAGCATTTCTTCAACTGCAGCTTCTCACTTGTTCTTCAGGTCCTCTCTATGACCTGAATTCAGTCTCGTATGGTCCTTGTCAGATCAGGCACACAGCCTTCTTCATTTTAGCAGCTTTTTTTTTCTTCTCTGAGCTCCCACTCACTCTATATCTAGCATCCGAGAGGAATCAGGAAGAGGTACCTGCAGGTGTGAGCATATGGTCTGTATCTCGCACATGAAGGTGAAATGATGGACAGTTCAACCAAGGAGGCAAGTATGGAGGCAGGTAGGCCAGGATGCAGCACATAATGTAAGCCCGCAGGAATTGATGTTCAACATACGGAGAAGGGACAGTACATTAACCACCAGAGAAATAAAAATTTTTGTGAAAATAAAGAAAGAATGACATTACTGAAATTAAGTTGAGTGAAAAGAAGCAGAACACAAGGTAAAAGGCTAAAAGAGCAAAGCAAAAGATAAAAGCTAAGAGCAGCAATGCACTAGCTAAGATCAGCAAAATGTTTGTTGCAGGTGAAAAAACAAAAATTACCTTGATGTGAATAATATCAAAAGGCTTGAAAAAAAAGCTACATGAATCAGAATAGCCATGAGGTAAAAGAAGCCAAATGTTAAGTAAAATTTAAAAATGTTGCAAAACAAATGTTAGCTAAAATCTAAAGTACAGCTGGACCCGTCATTCTGTGTCCGGTTCTCCTTCCTGTTGTCTCAAATCCAGCCGGTCGAAGCAGATGGCCACTCGTCCTGAGCCTGGTTCTGCTGGAAGTATTTTCCTGTTAGAACGGAGGTTTTCCTTTCCACTGTCTCCGTTGTGCTTGCTCAGGATGGGAAACTGTGACAAAGTGAAGATTCAACGCAATCTGCTGCTTCCTTAGATAACTTTACCAAGTGTTTTTATGTATGTGAAGGTTTTTGAACGGTGCCCTGAGGTGACTTCTGGTGTGACTTGGTGCTATATAAATAAAATGAACTGAATTGAATTTAAAGTTTAAAAAAAAAAATACTAGCATAATGCTAAAAGTAGCAAAAACTTGGGTAACAATATCAAAAGGCTAATAAAAGCTACAAGAATCAGAATGGGTATAGATCAGTAGAAGCAAAACTGAAAAAAAGGCTAATGAAAAATCAAAAGAAGCTAAATGTTAGCAAAAAGCTAAACAGCCAGCCAGACAGACTTTATTAATCCCAGGGGGAAATTTGAGGCATCCAGTAGCATTTACTAATCATACAGAAATAAAGGTAATTAATACAGATTACAAACGTAGATAAAACATAAGTAGCAATATGCTAGCTTAGAGCAGGAAAAAAGTTAGCTAAATGCTAAAAGATAAAAAGCTGGACAGAAGTCTGTTGGAGTCAGCCTCCCCACCATCACAGACATTTACACCTCTAGATACAGGAAGAGGGCCACCTGCATCATGAAGGACCCCACTCACTCAGCACACACACTTTTTGACCCGCTCCCCTCAGGCAGAAGGTTGAGGAGCATTAAGTGCAGAACCACTAGACTGAGGAACAGCTTCTACCCTGAGGCTGTTAGACTCATGAGTCCCTAATCATGATGATCACTTTGAAAATTACTGTAAAAAAAAAAAATCACTGTAATGCCACTTGGTTGTTGATATGTGCTGCTGATTATCCATGATGCTGCTGATTTATTTCATGTTGCTGTGTTCATTCGTCCTCATCTGCTCACACAGACTCATGTTTCTTTACAATTTGTAATTTTGTTGGATGTAACTGGGACCCTGTGTACATAGTTTCATTCCACTTCATGTACCACATGTGATGTGAATGACGATAAAGAACCTTGAATCCTTGAAAAGAAAAAAAAAAACGTGAGCTAAAACCTAAAAGTATCAAAAAGCTAACTAAAAGTATATAAAATATTCAAGCTAAAAGCTACAGGGCTCTGAACAGTACCGATAAACCAAATGAAACAAAACATAAACAAAAAGCTAAAAGTAACAGAAAGAGAATTTGAACATTTTGATGAATGAAGGACAAAATTAGCACAAAGCATGCTAAAGTAGACTTTAAAAAAATGTATAAAAAATTAATTATAGAAAAAAAAACTAGTTTGTCTGCCGAATCAGCATTTAAACTATTAAAAGGTAACTTAGCTTAGTGCTAATTAACCCCGACTGGCTGCCCGAGGCGAGGAGGAGAGGAGGCCATGCTGGAGAAGGAGTGAGGGAACGGAGAGAGTGGAGGATGGCAGCAGGGCTGACAGAGGAGGCAGGGGAGTAAAAAGCCAAAGCTGCAGACTGACACAGGAGATTCTCATTTTCCATGAACCCATTTGTGAGTCAATGGCCATCTGTGTTTTACATTCGGCACTGATTTAGCCCATAGCCGTCTTCCCGGAGCCGGTACAAAAGGTGAGCTGCTGCCTTCCCGCCTGCCAGCCAGCAGCGCCAGAGGGCGAAGAGAAAAACAGAACAGAAGAGCACAATCACGCTGAAAGAGCTGCGTTCAAGAGACTGCGAGCCAATTAGTGAGCTGAGTGACAGCACAGGGTTGAGAGGAGAAGCTGCTTTACTTCTGAGGGGGAAACATGATAGATCAGACACACACACACACACACACATACATGTGCAAACAGGCAAACAAACAAGTCCAGAGAAACACGACGAAGTCCTCGAAGATGAAGACGAACATCATTTTATGTTGAGAAATGACGGTTTTGATCAAACCTCGAAAATGATACGCACCATTCATAATGATGTCATGAGATGCTGAAATTATATAAATCTGTAAAAACTGACGTATAATAATTTGTGCTGGCTAATAGTGATGCTCTGTGGTGGCCATTTTGAATTGGATTAATTATTCAATTGAAGAAGTACATGAAACGACTGCCTTCTGCAAGATTTGTTCAACTTCATCCAGTTGGTTATGTGATATTTTGCCAATACTGCACAACAAGCGCACAGAGACCTTTGATCAATAATAAAAAAAAATTAAAAAACTGCCTTTCTGTGCATGTATTCAGTTGTGCAAAGATTTGGGCTTTAATTAATATCTGAGGATCCAATTTAAGATCCCTTGTTACCTTAGCAACGGAACAAGGCCAACCCAGAAAATAAAAGCAACGAGGAAGGCCGTCTGGAGCGCAGACCACCTCAAAGAACGAGGTCAGAGTCTGGAATGAATCCCCCCCCCCACCCCA